TCGGTGATCTTTTTTGGATTGTAGGCCACAGAACTCCCACCAGTGCTGTCGGTTCAATTTCAATATCTCCCATGATGGGTCGATGGTAGTGTGTTGTTATACTCAAGAAAGATTGACTCAGTCGGCCAAGAGTGACCTCCCACAAGCAAATCGACTGTCGGGTGGCACTGGCAATGGTGATGATGATACTCATCCTCAAAGCCCTCAGATAGGGGTAGATGTGATGGAATACAAGCTACCAAGAAGCGAGAAGACTCTGGACGAGTTTGGCTTGTTATTAGAGGAACATCTCAGTCCAAGAGAGAAAGAGTTGATCGACCAAAGAAGAAGAACCGACTTCGACAATCCGGGAAATCTTTTGGACGGCTTGCTTCAAATCTGGACCTTCAAAGAATCGATCATCAAGGCCTTGGGGATTGGATTGAGCATGGAACTCAGCTCGATAAGTCTCAGCAATTTGATCAGCCATCCGGAAGTCAATTGGGATCCTATCGAGACCGGCAGCCCTGCTACTACGAGGCTGGAGGACTTTATCTTACCCGATAGGTCATCTCAACTAGTTGTTTCAATTAATGGCCAAGAAGATCGGAGCTGGAAGCTTTGGAATGCCGTTTGGGCCAGGCCAGACTCGATCGGGGTGGAGTGCAAATACATCCTATCGGCGGCTCTCAAGTCATTTTGTCCTCAAAACCTCTCCTCTGAGACTTCATTGCTTCACCCAGTAGTGTTCAAGACCGTCCCAGATCTTCTGCCGTCTCATTGAGATGTTATTTTTGTTGTAACACTCTGTTTGAAAACAGCCAGGGAATAAGAACATGATCTGAACTATTATTATACTATGATTACTTAGTACTGAAACGAAAATGAGTGAACCAAACTAACAAACAAAAAACTCGTACAAGATGATACACAAGTGCCAGGTGATATATGTGATGTCTGTACGTGTAGAGGATGTGCCAACAAAAATTGAAAGAGCATTAGAAACACAAGTGGTGAGAAAGCAAGAGAGCACAAAAGAAAGGTATTGAAGAATATTAGGTACGAATGTTAACAAGAAATAACCAAGTCGAAATTGTCACAGTGGAAATGAGTGATTCTTGTTTGTATAGGATATCAGAAAACAGCGAGACAACAAAAGAAGCAAGAATATCCACATAGGTAATTCACATTTTGACAGACTTGTGTATTGTAGACCTTAATCACCGATGAATTCTTTACCTCTAACTTCTCGATACGCCTCTTTTAGTTTCTCTTTTACTTTGACTTCTTTATTCCAATTCTTTGATAACATTCTTTACAAAAACAAGTACGATAAGGATCAATTGAATGTAAGTTTCAAATGAATTTAACGACTTGAAGCAAAAGATAGAGAGAAAAAAAAAGGTGAAAATGGACGTACTTTAATTTACAAATAGCTCTAACAGCAAGGGCAACGCTCTTAAATGTTCGATCGGTTGAGGTTGGATGGAGAGTAAAGTTTCCTGGATGTTGGGTGTCATCATCGCCGGAGGATGACGAGTAAGGTAAGCCGAAGTTAGACAACGCTAATTGGATAGCTTCGTTCCTGTCAATTGTTCGCGATTCCAATTGTATCCATACCCAGAGTCAGCTTCCTGGTTTCGTGAAAAATAAAAATAAATATAAAAAGATGAGAAGAAAAAGGCATGCGACTAACCGAATCTCAGTCTGGCGTAACTTGAGCATGATCAGCTTCTTTTGACAAGCTAGGTCGGCCCTGAAGAGGCTTTCTCGGGTGAACATAAGTTTTAAAAACCTGATCCTAAGTAGTAATCCTTTGGATTCAGAGTTATGTTTGTGGTCGAGTTCCTCTCTGGTTTCATTAGTCCTTATTGGCGGTAGGATCGGAGAGAATAAGAATTAGAGTCAGTGATAAGAATTAAAGTCAGTTGATGATCGTCCAAGCGTTCCTCATTCAAGTCACAACACTCACAATCCGTGGTTGCCTTGGGCTCGTTGAGATTTCAATTCATTTAACTCTTTTTTACATAGCGATAACTCGTTCTTGAGCTTGGTCATTTCCTTAGAGTTGTTGGGAGCGGAAGCTTGACGATCGACTTGATCTTTCAAATCTTGCAGATGATGGCCAAGATCCTGAGCTTCCGCCTTGACTTTAATCAGTTCTTTTCGCAGAGCCTTTGTATCTTTCAACAGATTGTTATTCGTCTCATTAAGGCCCATGATCTCGTTGGTCTTCCTCTCTAGCTCATCCTCTAATTGTCCGAAGTCGAGCGTTCGTTTCTCAAGAGTCGCTTGGACCCGATGATACGATTTCTCAGAATTGATGATCGTGTGTGCTTTGCGCTCGAGCTCAGTCTTGAGTTGTCGAACTTCGGCAGTGAGTGAACTATGTTGCTCAGCATATTCTGCATTCTCTGTCTCGAGTTTCGAGATCGTTTCCTGGAGCTGCTCGATTTTCGCCGATGAAGCAGATGATTCCTTCTTCTGCGTGTGAAGAGCTAGAACAGGTATAAATATCATTAGGACAAAAAATTACCTAAAAATTCCATCCGGGGTTCACTCATTTATCAAACGAGCCACTTACCACGAATTTCAGCATCCATGGAGTCACGGGCCTCAGTCACTTGTGAGAGCTGGGCTTCGGTTTCGTGTAATTTCTGCCAAATTTCAAAGTCAGATATGCATCAAGAACAGATCTCATGGAAGGAAAGGCGATGTCCAAGCGTGCAAACTCACAAGATTTGCTGCTTCGAGTTGGTCTTCTAGATCTTCTTTGTCATCGGATAAAGCTTCGCGCTCTTTTTCATTTTCTTGCAGACGTTCTTGCTGTTCTTGTGACTTACTGAGAAGGCTTTCCACTTCATCTCGAGCCTCAGAAAGTCTCTGTATTCAAACAGCCAACATCAGAAGGCTTGCATTTCTAAAAAACCTATGGAAGATGATGACATACATTTTGCAACTGTTCGATCTCCTGTTCTTGGGTTGCTTTCTCGGATTCAAGTTTCTCCAGTTCATCTAGTTTCAGATCGAGCTCACGCTTCAGCTTGATGATCTCAGTTTGAGACGTTTGATGGTTTGCTTCCAACTCCATAAATTTGACTTTCAAGCCCGATGAGTGGTCCTCAGTGTCATTTTCGGTTGGTTGCCTTTGGGAAGAAATTTTACAACATGAGTTAACATATTAGAAAACCCTTGATTTTCTTGGTCAATCGGAGATGATGAGACTTACTCGGTGAACTCCAATTCCTGAGTCTCAGGCAAGACCCTGAAGCGGACTATCTGGTTTGCGTCGAATCTCTCACCACAGTCAGGGCAGCCGATATTAGACAAACGATGTTTGACTTGAGCGATCGTGCCATCCTCGGCAATCAACTTATCCAATCGTTCTTCGAGTTTCTGAGCCTTCTCTTCAAAGTCATCGGCTCTCCTGCGAGCGGTAATCGCCTCGGTTGACACTTTGACTACATTTTCACTGACTTCACTGAGCTTCGCCAACTTGTGGTCGACATTCTTGTTGGCCAAATCGAGTTGATGCCGAAGTTGTTCAACTTGTTGCTGAAGTTCGTGGATCTGATTGAGCATAGGCACAATGGTCTCATCCCCCGAATCGCCTGCCAATATCGAAGTCATCTGTATTGAATAGTGCATATTAGATTTAGGCGACATTCATATACAAAGGACAAGTGAAAAGATGTACATTGCTCAGCATTTTGCCTGGTGTTTTGGGGGTGCGCATGCTGATGATCGATTGGAAGTGACACGATGAACGACTTGGAGTGCTGATCAATGCAGACGTCTGTTGACGCAACGAGCCTACCCGCTCTTCAAGCTCGCGTCGTTGAGTCTCCAAAGCTTCAATCTTCATGTTCTGGATTTCGCAGGTAGCAGCGTTGTCGGATTGGCTGATCAGGGTTTTCAGTCGATTGATTTCCTCTTGCGCCTTGGAAAGTTCGGAGTTGTTTTTGCCAGATTCCCTCTTGGGGCTAAGTCGACCTGGCGTGGATGAGACGTCTGAGAAGTTAGATTTTAGAGCTTGTGATAGTTTGGCCTGGAGGCCTGAGATGGTCGATTGCTGGGCAATTGTTTCCGCTTCCAAGACATCGACTTGAGTTTCAAGCTGCGCATAGTCGCTTTCCACAGCCTGTCGAGCGTCTTCAGAATCTTTCAAAGAGACTTCCAGGGCTTCGATGCGGTAGTCTTTTTCGGATAACTCTAGGCCAAGTTCCTCAATTTTAGCACGAAGTTCGTCTTTTTCTTGGGGTGATTGCCGATTTACTTCGCTTTGCTTTGCAGGCTCTGGGTCATCTTGGCTGGTTTTTTGTTCGTTATTAGAAATCTCGCTTTGAATCCACGAGTGAAGCATGCGAATGCGGCGTTCAGCAGAGCGACCGACGGATTGATCCCCTTTGCCATTTAGAACTTGTTCCAGCTCACTTTTGACTGTCAAAAGGGTTTCCAAGCTGGACTGGCCTGTGGATTGAGTTGATTTCGGTTCATCTGGTGCTTTTCCTTGGACGTCAGTCAGCCGACGAACTTCTTTATACTTGGAATTCATGGAGACCAGCATTCTGTCTTTCTCTTGGATAAGCGCCGTAGCTTGATCTTTCAGAGTTGCGATCTTCAAATCGTAGCCCGCTTTTGCATCGACCAGGTCTTTCTCGTGTTGGGCATTGCATTCGGCTAACGTACTAGCATGTTGCCCGACAATCTCAATTTGCTGGAGTTTCAGTTGGTCTACTTCGTCTTCTTTAGAGGCTAGAACTGCTTGCAAATCTTTGAGGCGATCTTTCAATTCAAAAATCTGCTTAAGGGACGAGGAGTTGAGCGGAGCTTTGTTCAGAAGCTGATTTCGAATTTCTCTTATCTCTTCGTCGCGTTCTTCAAGTTGATATTCAAGTCGGTGAATCTGGCGCTCAGACAGAAGGTTTTGAGAAGCAGACTCTGACTGAGACGCGTAATTATCTTCGGCTTGGGCGGGGTTGAAATTACTTTGAAGTTCGGCTATACTGTCGTGGACGTTAATCATGCCCTGTAAGTGATCTTGTAGCACGCCACTGCGGTCAAGTGCACCGTCCGCATCTGATTGGGGTGGCAAAACCCCTCTCCGAAGTGATTGATTTTCCATTTCTAGTTGGGCGAGCCGCGCTTTCGTTTCAGCCAGAGCATTCACTATTTGGTGGTTCTCTTCCGATAAGTGTCCATTGAGATCGTGTAGGAAAGAGTTCAACTTGTTCCCATTAAATCTGGTAGACCGATCGGCAAAAGAGAACGAAGAGCTCCCATTCTGATGGCGAGCTCCAGGAAACGTGGTCAAATCGTGTGAGGTTGCTTCACTTTCACTTCCAGCGACTTGAACGGGTTGAGGATTATTGGGATGGTTTGACTGATTTGAAGGAATTCCAGAAAAGTCAGTGGTATCGTCGGCAACTTCGTTCAACCGCCTCGGCGTAAAAGGGCGTCGTGCACTGCGGAAGGGCATCTGTGACGGAATCGGCTTGCCATTGGATTTCAAGATGTCCCTCATGCGACTCAAATTGGATGGGTTCATTATGCTTTGCCGACGATGGTTATCTGGGTTGAGAACCGGTTCAGGTTGAAAAACAGGAGATCGTCCAAACGAAGATTTCTTGGACCCTTCAAACTCATGACTCATTTCTCTTGAGAAACTTTCTCCGATCTCGTCTATAGTCAGTGAGTTGTCGACCCGAAACGAATCACGGCGTCCAACCCCAGGGCTGGTGAGCTGGCTACCTGAGGGCTCACGAGGGCTTCTGTTGGTGGCAAGATCTCGGTCACGTGAATTGGTACGCGATAAACGAGCCTGTAAAGTGGAGTGTGAGCTTGACGATGATGATAAACCTGATTTTGGTTGTGGTTGTATGACTGATGAGGATGTCTTCTGGTGCTGGACGCTGCGATAATTCTCGCGCTGATTTTCTGGAGATTGGCTGGTATCGAATCCAGACTCGAGATCGTCCAAGGCAGACAGGTTCAGGTCTCCCAGCGATTTGTTTGATGGGTCATCCTGGTCGCCATCTGAGCTTGATGAATCTTCATGGAGGGTGTCAGGCGGAGGTTGGTCAGTTTCGGTTTCACTGCTGCTAGTAAGAATTCCGACTTCTGGACGATGATCTTGGGTCTGAGGTATATGACTTGTGTTGGGCGAGTGATCACGCAGCCAATGTTCAGCATGACGAGCTGGGTTTGCAGTGGCAGGGGTGGAAGTGAGTGGAGAATCAACAGTTATTTGAGGCTGGTCCATATTGGTGGGTTGATGGTTTGATGGGCCCGGCCTGGGAGTGAATCTGGCATGAGATTGTTGGGTGCGGTTGGCGTTGGATTGGTGAGTACGCTCCCGAAAGGCTGGTCGACGATCCTGAGTGTTGAAGCGATTCGGTTCTGTGCGGGGAATGAAAGGAGTATTCATAGTGGTGTTTCTCGAGATGCCGACATCATATATATGGCCAGGACCACGTGGCCCAAAGCTTTCGCCGACTGAGGTCGGATCGGGAGGCGGCCAGCTTGGTAGACTATCGAGCCCTTCTTCCAATTCCTCGGCTCGATCGATCCGATGCATGAGTCGGGCGGGCGTGTCTAATTGATATCCTGGGAATGCCATGGTCAAGAGGGAGGTGGGGTGGTTGGTGGTGGGTGGTGGGTGGGTTGGTCACTTTGCTGTAAGGTTCCGATCCGGACCCCGCACATCCGGTGAGATCCGGCAACCCGGAATGCCGGATCCGGGTTCGGGACTGTGTTTTGGAGATCCGGCATCCGGCCGGATATCTCTGTACTGGGGCAGAGGCCGACATGGGCTATCTATGGGCTCAGAGAACCTTTATTTTGGCTCAACGGACTTATAAGCTTCTTACATGGTGATGAGGGAGGACATATTGGGGTTGTGATGATGAATTACAGGCAAAACTGAATCATCGGTTGCGGAAGACAAGATAGAATATGAGAAAAGAAGAAATCTACTATGTTTAGTCGGTGGTTGAGAGATTGTTGGCATTGCAAATGTTGATGATGCCATTATCGATCCAATTCTGTAAACAGATGATCGATTCAAGGGTTGTGGCTTTCATTCGGTTTCGGCTGTAATCTTGAATGTGTCGACCAACCGAGAATGCTCGTTCGCAGGGAGTACTGGATGCCGAGACGGCCATGTATGTTTGCGCCATCCTGGAGAGGCTCGGAAACTTTTTGGAATTGCATCGCCAATACGCTAATGGCTCAACAGCCTCATCTTCGCATTCGGAGTCAAGGTATGAGTCGATTTCATCTTGAAGGGACAGAATCTTCAATTTTTTCTTTTTGAACAAATCTGAACTGATTGATGATCGAGAAGAGTCATCCTGGGAACTTGTATCTTAAAATTTGCCAAAGATCCGGCAAAACCCGGCTCAGGGCCGGATTTTTGCGGGGTCAGGGTTCGGGATGGGTGAAATCCGGCTCCGGGGCACCGGATCGGAACCTTACTTTGCTGGGTGGGGACGCGTCGCGGGTGGAGGCTCCAGTGCAGTTTCGATCCCCGGGAGTAGGGTACCCGTATTAACCGGTCGGGCTGTCGGTCAACACACTTTCCATGTTCATGTGGCCATTGACTCTACAAATGGGCCTAGCCAAAAAGGATCATGCTTCAATATTGATTTTGCTTCTTCTTATAAACTACATGACCAGATTGAGAATTTCACTGTGGTTACAGTGTACACTCTTGATGGTGAATCATAATGACTTTTGTTTTCACCATTCCTTAATGAGGATCTATTTTTAGCCTCATAGTTTCTAATACTAGATGAGCTCCAGTCCCACCCTATGCATCCTCAATTTCACCAGCAAAATTACATAGCCACTTGATTATAGGTGCCAGGTGAAATTCAGAAGCAGTATTTATAGCTCCATCTCTGCTGCTGTTGTGCTAGCAATGCGTGGAAATGGCCCCATTGATCAGTTGCATATTTTGGATTTCCCCAGACACTAATCCATACTTTGGGCTAGGGAAAGGACGTACATTTACTCCAAAATAAAACACCCCAGAAATGGAAATCAGACACATTCTGCCCTCCCAAAAAAGGTGACAAAAGTGACAAATTGAATCATAAGACATATTTGTGGCCCTGGTTAAGGTGTTTTTATCCTTTTTTTCTTTTTTGGCTGACCAGTATGTTCAGTTAATTAGCACAAATTTTAGGGGGTTGGAAGAAAAACTCCTAAGTATTTGCTGACAACTCCCATTTTGGTTGAGGGGCAGTTGGCTGGATTTGTTCTTCCAATCCCCCTTGCAGGATTGGGAGTCGACCTCCCAATTCTTTTCTTTTCTTACTTTTACTTTTATTTTTATTGTTTTGGGGGGGGGGGGGGAGTTGGTGCCCCAAACCCTCCTTAGAGCATCTCCAACGGTCCGGGGGCAACTGCCTTGCGTTCCCCGGGCCACAATCCCATGCCACAGGGGTCGCGGGTCAATCCCAATTATGGACTGGCACTCAGATATCCCCCAGCTGCTGGTAAGGATCAATCACTCTCCTTCTCTTGAATTATCATACCCTACCAAATCAAGTCATGGAAATCAACGATATCTTAAAATGGATGGTTGACAACAATGATGTGCTTGCCTCACTACAAGCAACACTCAGCTTAATATGTAACACAAAGGAGGGAAAAAACGTGTTGGTTCAACATCTGGAAGAAGAGAGATTCAGTGCAACCAAATCCAAGGCCACAATCAGCTATTCAAGGACTACTTTTTTTTTCTTCATTGTATTGATTTGATCAACTTTTTTTTGTTTCTCTTTCTCTCTTTTTTCTATGCTTTCTCTCAATTGTTTCTTTTCTCAAATAATTCTTGTATTCTTTCATTTTCAAATGAATTGAAATGAAAAATACAAACAAGAATAAAAATAATGACAGTAGTAGCAGCGGTGGGCCGCTACGCTTTTGGCCCAAAAAGCGTAGCGTAGCGGCACTTTCTTTCATCAAAAAAGGGTAGTGTTAGCGGGTTTTTAGCGGTTTTTTGCTACACTACGCTGCGCTACAGCGCTTTTAGCGGAAAAAGCGGCCAAAAACCGCTGTAGCGCAGCGTAGTGGGCCCTTTTTTGCGGCCCACACGCGTAGCGTTAGCGGTGTTGTGGCAGAATTCTGCTACGCTACGCTAAGCGCTAACAGCAATTCCGCTGCGTTACGCTACACTAACCGCTACGGTTAGTGTAGCGGCCCACCATTGGTAGTAGCAAGTGTGAGTGTCAAGATTGAGTGTAAACAGATGAAATAAAATGATTGTCAAGATCAAGAGTGAATACAAGAAAGAAACTGAAATTGTTGAGATCAAGAGTGAATACATTATTGGGGATTGAAACATTGGTGGTGGATGTTTGCAAACTTGTTTTCCCTTTTGATTGCTTCTTTTTTTTTTCTTTGGAGAGCTCAGTGTTGGTTTTGAAGAAGGGGGATCTGGGTCATCCATCGTTTGTTGTGGGGTCTCTCTGCACAGCATCCTATGTTGGATTGTAGAGGAATTGGAAATCACGGCTGGGAGGTGACTGGCAGAACTCAGAAGGGGATCAAGGGCTTGATTGCCCCCAGCAATTTTTTGAGGGCCATGTCACAGGTCCGTTGCAGCGGAAAATGGACACCCGGCCTGCCAAAGTTTGCCCCTGGACGCCCGACCGCGGGTCCGTTGGAGATGCTGTTGAAATTTTGCTCATCTCTCTCTTCTTTCCTGTCATTCACCAAACATTGTCTTTTTCTTTTTTATGCTATGTGTTCTGAGACCCACAACTTGAACCTCTTGTAGTTACAATACTTAAGTCCTATTAACTGCAGCTTAAAAATAAAAATCATTGGTCCTTTACTCTTTTATGGTCCGTTCCTGAAGGAGCACATTAGCCCTTCTTCAGCCTAGTGGCAAGCACTTCAGCCCTCTCAGTCAGAATCAAAAAGTCTTTCTTCGGCCTCTAAGCCAAAAATTCAACAGATGCTCTTAGCAAGTGGGAGGTTTGGGAGTTGCCTCCCTCCCACTAGCTGGAAGGAATTACCTCCGGCCATAGACTGTACAGTCTTGATGACCAAAGGAAATCTTTTCCAGCCGTCAAGACTCTACAATATCAATGACCGGAAAGAATCCCTTCCAGTTGTAATTTTTGAGACTCTACAGTCTTGATGACCAGAAGGAATACCTTCTGGTTGTTGAGACTGTACAATCTTGATGGCCAGAGGGAAACCCTGCCAGCCAGTGGGAGGGAGACAACTCCCAAACCTCCCACTTGCCAAGGAGGGTTTGGGGTGCTGACTCCCCCCTGTTGTGACATGTCACTTTAGGTATTCTTCATTAGTCATCATCTACACACCCGGACGAATCAGAATAAGTTGGTTCGCCCGCAAGGCGTACCAGCACTACAGGCGACCCCATGTCGCAATACAGGAAATTAGTTGTGCAACCGGCGGGTGCGTGATTGAAGCGGCCTGTACACCCTCTGGGGGCGGTGCCGGCCAAGTGTATGCAACAGTTACGTGTTGGGTGCAAGCTGGGGTCGTAACGGCCTGGGTTCGCCCCAGGCCAACCTAGTGCAACGCACCCAGGCCATACCAGCACCCGAGTCGGATTGCTTGCCGCGCTGAACACGGCCCCGAGCCGGAAGATGAGATGGCTTGCGGGCTCACCATCGGTCCGCCGAGGCGGCCCCCTGGTTACCACATGGGGCCTGCAACGACCCAAGTGGATGTCCGGGCACGCTACACCTGCCGCCCCGTGCACACCTCTGTAGTGGGCAGGTTTCGGGTTCAGTCCACAGTCGCATTGTAGCATCCAAGTCCCCTCCTGCCCTGCTGACTTTGAATTTTCATCATCGCTTCTCACTCGGATATCGTAACACCCGCGCATAGCTATCATGGACAACAAGGAAACTGATGGTACGTACATTCCTCTGTTAATCACGGTTCTCTGGCACGGGATTTGCTCATCTTCTTCCGATGGCTATTCTCGTACATTTTTCGCAGATTACATCGCACGCGGGGGGAAATACCATTGTAAATCCTGTCCGCTCGCAAGGGGGACGGTTGACTGGCGCAAGCATTGCCAAACGGCATCACACAAGCGAAACTACGAGCGCGCGGCCGGGCTCAGGTTATCTCGAGAGGCGGCCGATCTCGCTCGGGCCACCGAGGATCTGGAACCGGTGGAAGCGAGCGCGAGAGATGGCACTGAGCAGGAGGCCGAAGAGGCGGCGCATGCCGACCGGGTTTGGGACGCGATTGAAGGGGTCGGGGTCCTCAATGATAACGTTCGCAGCACCTTCAATCCTTGGTCGATAGAGGATGATCTCGATAAGATGGAGACTTTGAACGCTTTACGAGAAGGGGATCAGGCAGGCGGTCGTGCCCACCAAGTAAATTGGTTGGAGATCATCAATCGGGGATCAACATGTGAAGGGACCGATGCCGCTGGGGCAACAGAAGATCGAGAGGTGCCAATAATCAGGACGGACAAGAGGTCTAATCGGGTCAACACCTCAATGTGGTTCCCTTTCAAGTCCAAGCTGGTGAGCCCTCCTTCTGTGGTGGTTGCCTGTAATTTTGCGGTGCTGACATCATGTGCTCCCAACCTTCTAGGACCTTGTGGCATCCTTGATCATGGGGCATACACGCTCTTTGCTTTCCAAAGCTATATACACTAAAATCCGTGCAATTTTGACAGGTTGTGCAGTCAAGCTGGCAACATGGGCAACTGTGCAAGCGTCAAGGGACAGGATCAACAAATTGTTGGGGTGTGAGATACTCCCTCATAAGTCGGTTTTTGACACACCTTGCTTTTCTCTTGGGGCTCGACACATTCTCCAACAGGTATGATCTGTTTATGTGTATATCTTTGGAGTCGCCAGAGGGCAGTTGGTCATTGATGATACTGTGCATCTGTTCTGTAGGAGCTCGGCAACCCGCTGGTCACTAGACACCTGGAATTTTATCCAGAGTGGTGTGATGGGGTCAATATAAGCAAGTTTTCACAATCCACAAAGTGGCTTGCAGGGCTGTCTCCGCAAAACCGGCCGCAAATGTGTGAAGTCAAGGGAAAGCACTACTACATCTATGAGCCTGTGCAACTGATCTCAAATGATGTAGTCATCCCAATCTTCTTTTTTAATTATAAGTCTTCTTTACATGCAAAGTGCTTCAAACTCAAACATGAACACATCAACAGTCATAACAACCGCCTAACAATCACAATTCCCTCCGACCTTGTCTTTGAGCATCCAGAGCTATCAATTATCCCCGTGGAGGATTTCAAGTTGATTTATTCGTCAATTAGGCTAGGGAATGGGAAACTCTTGTGGGAGCAATGTGGGCGCAAGATTTGTGGTATGTACCAGTGTTGATTTCCTCTCCTGTTCCTCCGCGTCTGAAATTCATTTGTCGGATGGTCTAGTATCAAACGGGGATCCTGAGGCGGCATTTGTGATCCCAAATCCTTGGAGGGATCGAGCTCGCGGGAAGATTGTCCGCAATGTTCCGATAATCCTGTATGCAGATGACACCTCAGGGAATGTCTCAAAGCAGTTCAACAAACACATTTCATTTTATTTCACTTTGGCCGGGCTCCCACCACACATCTCCAATCAAGAGTACAACTGCCACTTTCTATCAACTTCAAATCTGGCGAGTGTTTGTGAATTGTCTGAACAGATTGTCAAGGAATTAAAGTAAGTTGGACTGACTTCACAATCATTCAAGTGTTACTATGTATGTAGGTGGCTGATGAGTTGGGTCAGTGAAATGGCCAGGGTGGGTTTTCAGGCATTTGATCAAAGTATCTCACAGCCAGTTTTGGTGAACACCATTGTCTTGTGTTTTTTGGCTGACTCCCCAATGCATGCCGAGATCACAAATACTCCTAACCCTGGGACTTCCCTCAATCCTTGTCGGATGTGTAAGTTGTCTGTGCGGCAGAAGAAGTTCAAAGAGACTAGGACATTCATTGGGAATTTTGTCCACAGGGGTAAAGATGGGGTCAAGGTGAGGTGTTGATTGGCCTATTGGTTGTTCATGGACTGCTGCTGATGAATGAGTTATTTGGTTAGCAATTGAATCCAGGTCGCGTTTGGGCGGAGACAAGGGAGCAATCTCATAAGGTGTTTTCAATAGCAATCAACGGGAATTAGACGAAAGCAGGAAGGAAGGCAAAGAAATATGGATTGAAAGACGCAGTGAATTCACGATTTCTTTTGGAAGCAAAAAAGGATGTGGCAACTAGGGAGAAGATAGTTCAATTTGCTGCGGGGTCACCAGAGAGGTTATACAATCCGTTCTTAGAACTCGAAGGTATTTTTTTCTCACAATTTCGATGCAATCACTGGGGTTATGTGTTGACAAGAGAGCATGTTTGGTTTCAGGATTTGATGGGGTCTTGGACACGCCAGTCGAGATCTTACATGTTGTTCTGCTTGGGGTGGTCAAATATCTGGCGCGCGATCTGGTTAAGAGTGTACCTGAGGGGAATAGGTCACAATTGGTTGGGCGGTGTGAGAACTCCTTTGGGAATGGTGGCAGTCCTGTGAGGGGGAAATAGCAGATGAGATATATTACGTATGTAATGATCCACTACAACTGTTACGGCTGGTTTGAAAGACCTGCCCCTCTATTGTACTACACAAGAGTTAACACAACAATTTATTTATTGTTGTGGAAAAAACTGATGATAGAGAAAACTATGTGTAGCAGTCTCTTATCAAACCTAGATCAACGTGGATTCAGCAGACTATTTGAGTGGAAATGTTTGAGTAAGAGGTGTTTTTCTGTTTATATGTTTATGTATTTTGAGAAATGATTGACGTATGTACTGATGATGAATGTGAATTTATGAGATGATATTGTGGAAAAAAATGTGACTATTGAAAGTGTCTTTCCCTTCCTCCTTGAATCTTAGTCAAGAGCACAATGGTTTAAGATCACTGTCTCTTGTTTAAGATCACAAGTTGTACTGGTTGCTACTTTCTTTTCCCTATGCTTCTCAATGGCTGAATGATCTCAATGGGGCACTTGATTAAGATCACACTGGTTAATGTATGGATTGATTGCTCTGTTCTGTCTGGTTGATGATCAGATGAGATGATGATCTGTTGTGATGAGATGATCTCATGATGAAAAATTGGAATGAGGGGGGGAAAGCCCCTCCTTAAATAGTCTATTTTACAACCCGGCTGACTTGTGGTTCTAGCCCTAACCTATAATCTATAAATGGCCAACTTGTGGTTCTAGCCCTAACCTATAGCCTGTAATTTATAAATGGCCAGCTTGTGGTTCTAAACCTAACCTATAACAAATATGCATAAAATCCGGCCAAATTGTGGTTTTGCTATCTATACAAGATTCTCTGTGTACCTACAAACAATGTGGCCAACTTGTGGTTACCCTATGCAATGAATATTGAATATGTAAACAAACTAAGGCCAACTTGTGGTTTGCATTATGCAATAAGCATTTTGTATGCAACTAAAACTTAAATCCCAAATAACTTTTGACTGAGTGGAGCTAGCCTAGTGGTTCCAGTGAGTGACTATGGGTTAAATGACCCGTAGAATGTGATTATTTCATAATACGCCTAAGAATATATGCCCTTCTACATATTGGACTGCGACTTTATGCAATTTGATACTTGAAACACAATTGGCATACTACAGCGGCTGCAATCGTTCAACTGCAAAGGGCTCAACATTTCGTCCCTGAAGCCGGAGTACCTCATCAAGCATATCAAAAGCTTAATTGGGCGGGATTTCAAGATCATCCTTCAATCGGCACCCTTTGTTTTTGGCGAGTTCATGACGCCCGAGCAGAAATCCATCTGGTTAGCCCTGTGTGACCTAGCTCCTTTGGTCTTTCAAACATCCATCCCCAACATGACAGCTTATTTGGCCAACCTCGAGAGGCGCGTCGACTGCTTGGTGTATCACTTGATAAATTCAACCTCTCAATGGGTCAACAAACCGAAGATACATATGCTCCTCCATCTGGCCGAGTCCATCCGTCGATTTGGACCTGCTTCCCTATGTTCGACAGAAAAGTTTGAGTCTTACAATGGCGTACTCCGCAAGGCTTCGGTCCACTCAAACAAGCAGGCTCCCGGGAGAGATGTGGCGATATCATTTGAAAGTTATGCATCACTCCGATTTATCTTATCCGAGGGGGTCATTTATGATCATACGACTGGTTGTGAGCGGGAAATCGGGCCAAATGTGACGTCTTTCTTTGCTGAGAACAAAAGCATCCAGCTGGCCATGCGTTACAATGCGCAATCATCCCGTGAGGCTGAATCATCTGTGTACCCAAAGAAGACTTTGCGGCGGTTGCCTAAGGACAACAAAATGGTACCGCCCCCGGAGCTTATCAGTTTGGATGGAGGGCCAACGGTCACACAAGTATCCCAAGTCCAACTGGACCGGCACAACACAATTGATAAAGGGTCTTTTGTGGCAGTAAGCACTGGTATATCTGTCTATCCGAGTGTGGGATGAATTAACATAATACATTTGATGTTGTGACTTTTCAGGTAGGCCAAGCAGGTAACTCAGATTTGGAAATTGGCATCATCAAGTCACTGTGGGAGGTCCGAACTGGTAATGGGGTGACGTACTTTGGGCAGCTCGGAACTTTCAAGATGATGGATGTGGATCCATATTATCAAATGAGATCCCTCCGTACACGGTGATAGTAAATGCCAAGGTAAGATTGTGATGTGGCAGGTTGTTTCTCCTCCAGATGTATACATGTTGCCTGATCTGATATATCCTCTTATGCCCTAGTTCTTCCATGGAACTGTTAATGTGCAACACAATTGCCATGGGGGGAAGTGTTTGGTCGATAAGTACCTCCCTACCAGGAAAGAGTGCCAGGCTACCCAGGGAAAATGTTGGGCTGTTCAGCATTCAGACATGGATAATTACATTCTGAATTCGGCATCACTCCATGAGCCCCAGTTGCATGAACAGCTCTCGGCCCTGCCTACATCATCCTTCTCACCCAATCAATGGCGTGATTGCATTGATGCTGGGCACCAATCTTGGCTCGGGGGCGCAGTGGTCATGTCTGATGCCGGAGGTGACAGTTCAGATGAGGACGTCAGTGGCCCTGGGTCGCGCGTGGGAGCGGGGGGACCAGATGAAGGCAATGCGTATGCTGATGGAGAAGACCAGGATGACGAGGGAGAGGAGGAGGATGAATCAGGCTCGTGCTCGGACGACTCGGAGGGCAGCTCACAGGATGAGGATGCTGAAGGCGAGACAGATGATGGGGAGGAGTATGACTGGGGTGACTATGAGGTTCACACCGAATGAATCAGGTAAACATCACCTTCGTCAGTGTTATGTCCATCCTGGTTGGCGCGGTTGGTTCATATGTTTTCCTTGATGTGATTTCTTCATTGCCTGTGTCATGTTAATAGTGTTAATAGCCAAATCTCATCTTAGTCACTGCTTGTGAATTTCACCATTCATGAGGTGGGCTATCTGTTCCTCCATGATGTAAACATGAGAAAATGCCACCTCTGGCCTGTGGCGCCAATCATGGAATTGGGCCCATGAATTCCAGGCCCAATGGTTTCAAACACCTTCCAAGTGAGCCAAATCCCAATTGATCAGCTGGCACTACATAATTCCCTTTCTGGCCCATGAGTTAGTATCACACCTGGCCTGGTCAATTACAATGGCCAACCCTGAGTTGATGGAATTCCCCAATGTACCAGGTGGGGCTTTGCCGCGCGCGGGTGGCCCCAGAAAGTGGTGACCTGCACCCCATGGTTATTGATTTTCCCACCCAAATGCCCCAAGCCCGCTTGATTGGGCAAAAGCGTCGACCAACCAAGCCCCCCCCCCAAGCGGGTCCCCCGGGGGGTTCCGGTCTGATGCTAGCGATCCGACAGATGACCAAGTCAACATTCATCAGGGTCACGGCATCATCTCCCTCGCTCCCTGCCAACGACATGGACAGCCGATCGTCGGTCCTCGACAGGACAGTTGTTCAAGTAGCCGGTGACGCACTCCCCATGACACTCCACCTATCCTACCACGTATGGATAACCCAACCAGGAGGCGACCGTACAAGATATCCCAGTCCCCACGCGCAAATTGGCCTTGACTGGATCGAAACCATCGGCCCCAAGGCCGGAGTCCAATTATCCTTCGTCGACGACCCCAGATCATGGACCTTGCCCGACTTTCAAGAAGCGGTCATTCAGAAGATCCAGGCGCGTTCCCCGGACGTCGCACTGGTCATCCTAGCTCAGCACCATGCCAAAGACCTGACATGGGAGATAATTCGAACTGGTCCCGAAGAGGGCCCTTTATTATCCAGCAAGATCGACCACCCGTGGGAGTGGACTATCCAAACACGCTCGATCACTCAGGCCTCCAAAGAATTCAAGTATACGGTCCACGTCACCGGGGTCGAACCACAGCCAACGACGTGGAGATCCCACATGACGGGGCGAGTAAGTGCCCACAGCCCCTGCCACATCGTTAGTTAAGCCGAGGCACTGACCTGTATGCTCACCGCAGCCATTTCCACCCAGTGATGTCGAACGACTGCAATACTGGTCAAACTTGCAGGGCGCCATAACACAGCGGCCAGGAGGCCACGCGCGCAGGAGCGATCCCTTCGTCGACCTCTACCTCCAATATACGATTTACGCCCCGCTTGGCCCGACCCGAGACGGTGAGACATACTACCAAAGCTTCAGCCGCGATCACCCGGGGGTGCGCAAACGGCTAGATTTCACCGGCCTGAGCTTCCCCAAGCTCAAGGCCTACATCCTATCAATTTTGAATTCCGAGAAGCGCTCGGCAGCCATCGACGCCCTCGCCGAGGACGCCGATCTCACATGCGACCTACGATGGCATTACTCCATTGTCGACCCCGGCTACCCAGAACTCCAAGGCACCTTTGATACTAGTCAACCCGCCTGCTCGGATGCCTTCAGTCAAGCCGTCCTGGCGTCTTCGCGCCACGCCAAGACCACCCTCGTCATCAGGATGCCTTACGAACACCGAGTGATACTGGTGAGTCCCCCCCCCCTTGATCCAACGGTAATCACCCCCCATCTACCCAACTGACCCATCAGATCCCCAGCCTCTCCCTTTACCCTCCCGCCGCATCTACTCAGGCAATAAGCGCCCAAAACTCGAGGACCCCACCAGGCACGACGAGCTCGCCGATGACGCATCCGAGGAGGGTCCCAGTGACAGCCCCGGGGATCGCTTGACCATCCCTGCCTTCTTATGACTATGCATGATCGGCCCTGCCCACCAACCCGTACAGGACCTGATCAAGAAATACGAAATCCTGCACTGGACGGTGTAAGACTCAAAAGTGGTTATGAAAACCCTTTTGCTGAATGGAGAAGGGTATGTTGGAGTTGCAAGCTCTGCCCTTCTATACTATCAGAATAACAAGACCACCAAGCTTAGCTTGGCAATTTTATATATGTTGAATTTTTGAGCTCTAGATCGGTTGAATTTGAGATTTTTGAGAAGAGGGCACAAAAAAGGTTAAGGACCTTTTTTGGGAATGGTTCACGAAAAAAGAATGAAAGAACCAATGATTTTCATTCACAGGTAAATAGTCAGATTAAATAGACTAAGTACATGTGATCAACCTGTGGTTGAGGCAAATTGAATAAAAAAGGAATGTTGAATAAAAACTAAGAGACAAAACAATTTGAAGTCTTGGAAGAAACAATCTTAGCCGGACTTCTCAGTCTCTTTTAGTCAGACAAGAAAAGTTAATCAAGAAAAATCAAGAATTCTATCACAAATATTCAGAGGCGTTAATTCTAAATAATTAGCTTTTAATGAATCAAATAATAAACTAGAAAAAGAAAGAAATCATTCTTCAGAACTAGAGTTGTATGATAAATTGCCACAGGAGTTCTAATTAGACTTCAAGTGTGCATAAGATTCAACAAAAAACTAGACAAGATTGACTATAATTCAGTCCAGTTTAAGATGACTCAGAAAGAAAAAAGGAAGAAAAAAATGAGAAGAAAAAAAGAGTGATTTTAGGGAGGAGTAGACCAAAGAGGCTGAAAACTCAACAATATATAGTGATAGGGATAAGTTCGAGATGAAGCTGCCGATTGATATGTGTGAGGGTAAAAGATGTTATTGATTGTTGGTTATATTGATGAAGTTGTTGTTGTTGAATATGGTTCAGGGCACTTTTGGTTTATGATGTTGATGAAAGTGTTAAATCTGTATTTCAATGTATATAGTTCTGAAATTGTAATGTGGCTATGACTTGTAGTTATGAAATAATATATAAGATGGATTTATTTATAAGGGTGGTTGAGATGATCTGGTCCACTGGTGGGATCATGGTCCCCTGGTCGGATGATGGAGGGAACAACTGGCAGGCAGAGGCCTCCTTATATAGACAAATGTGAGGGATTTTGGCCCCAGGGTACAGGCTGAAAGACACTACTACAAAGGGATGCATATGAATGAATCAAGGGACGCATATGTATGATCAAAGGGATGCATACATGCAATATCACTAATACAAAGGGATTCAAAACAACGTAAAGGTATTCAATTTACTACAAAGGAATTCAGTATGCAATATTCATCCTGTATTCATAATGGCTATGGCTAGAGTGCAGAATCCAAGAAATATCCTGTGACAGGTTGAAATCTGTGTAACTTCTAAACTATAAGAGATAAGGGTATGGTTGTAGTGGGTGACTAGGGGTTATTTTACCTGAGGATTCCATTTTTGATGTCATTTTTACCATATCTTGAATGAATAAAGAGATAATAAGAAATTTTTATATTTTCTGCGTAGAAACACAGTATTATTTACCACATCCTCCCCCAACTTATTGGCTGTCCCCAGTCAATTCTGATTCTGACTGTGTTTTGGAGCTAATATTACAAATAAAAAAAGAATAATTTTGGCCATGTATATCTGAGATTTGCCTTGAAGCATGTTGAGTAGTGCGGTGAAATCAACCGTGGAGTTAATTTGATTGATGAAGAAATTTTGAGATTTTGCGATGTTGACATGATTTGTTTTCAGAGTTTTACTTGACCTGTCCAAGAATATTGATGCCGGTGGCGAAGTTGATTTGGGTCTAGGGTTGCTCCCATTTTGATTTTTGCTGAGATGGTAAATTTGGTGCCAGATGAAGCGTTGAGTTTGATTATTCAGCTGTTTGACTTGAGGTTATTCCGTATTTGAGTGATAACAGTAAAAAAATTCCACATTGTTTTTGACTTAATGTTTAGTAGAAATTGGGCCAGATGAGGGTTTTTGAACCCAATTTAAACCGTGAATTTTCTGAGTTTTAGGTGAATTTTTGTTTTATGGAGTTTTATAGAGTTAAGAAAGAAACCTCTGATTATCTGCAGATGTCTTGATTTCATGACCTCAAAAAAATAGGTGCACATGTGCTTAGGTACTGAAGTGGGGCACAAAAAGTTGGCACAGTGTGGGAGTTGAATACAAGTCCACAGCACCAGTCACAGTTCTTACTTGTTTGACTACAGGGAATTTGGGTATGATTATGTATTTGAGGTTCTTGATCTCGTCCGATCGCGCTTGGTTCGCCCTTCCATGCCCTGTCACAACCTGTGACAGGGTCCGATCGGTGTTAGGACTCGCGCTAGCTCCTCGCCGTGGGTCCTCCTTCCAAACTTCTTCCAACTTCGCATCGGGTTCAACTACATATCGACTCATCGGCTTGTCGACGATCCTCACTAGCCGACTATCCTTCCTCGCGGTAAGTGTTTTCCGATATTCTAGTTTTGCCTCGTTATTTTCTAATTAGCTAATCTAAAAACAACTATCTTCAAACTAGTTTAGATTGTTTTTAGTCGATCTCCGCGGCGAGTTAGCGAATAGCTTTAGTCTTCTAGTAAGTTTTCGGGTTCTCTTCCTTTTCTTTTCTCTAGTCTTGTGTAGTGTCTTTAGCTGACAATCGTTTTCGATCCTCTTTCCTTTGTTTCTTAAGTAGTGCTTCGATGTTTTAGCCTCATTGTCTAGGCTCGAGTTGATTCTCCTTTTGTATCCAGGCGCTCATCAATTTGAATAAAAGAATGCAAAATGGTCTTCATCGTTCTAAAAGGAAGGGCATCACCGATGGAGTCAAATCAATCAATATCGCGGAGAAGTTGCAGTGCCATCAGGTCCAAGTTGAGGGGTCCTCGTTTTTCTATAAATGCCACCGACTCGTCGCCGGATTCTTTTCCTCCTCATCAGCTCCCTTCTTTTATATCTCCATCTGTAGCTATTTACTGATCATGTTGTTGTTTGTTTTCTGTTGTGATTCTAGATTTAGAGGACTACAGGGAAGTTGATCGCTTGGAATCGGTCGATTTTAATCATCTGCCTCTCTTGTTGTAGTATATATGAATAATTGGTCCAAGCGAAAAGATAGAGTTCAAGTAAAGCCAGAGGTTTTCGCCAAGTCGCTTCCATTGGTTTATAAGCCAGTCTTTCTCATTGTCCTTCTAGAGTTAAGTCGATGATTGAACTAATGAATTCCTAGAACTCCTTCTTGATCCTTTTGCATTGTACTAGCCTGATTGGTTGGAGCTGTTGAAAAAAAGATGAGAAGACGACTTGAAATGGAAAAAAAAATCAAGTGAGAGATGAGAGCTGTACCCCTCCCCCAACTTATGAGGTTGTCCTCAACCTTTAAGATAATGGATTTGAGGCAAGTCTAAGAGTAAGTGATTTGAATGATTCAGAGAATAAAGATAAATTGAGCAGAGAGATGAAGAGATGAGTGTCTCTTGAATGAAAATTGTAGAGATAAGAGAAAAAATTGAAGATAGTAAAAATGTGAGTCAAGTATGAAATATTCCTCCCCCAACTAATGAGTTTTTCCTCAACCTTCTACTCAAAAAAAACTGATGAAGATGATAAGTAAGTGATTGAGAAAAATGACTTATTGAGAGAGGAAAAATAAACTCCAGGAAAAAATTTGAGATACTAAAGAAGAAATGAAACAGACACTGCATCCAGAAAAGAGTTTGAGATAGTAAGAAATTGACAGAAAGTATGGAACTGATAGAGAGTAAGGAATTGATAGAAAAGACTTTGAGATAATAAAGAAACTGATATATAGAAATTTGATCCATAAAAGAGTTTTTAGATAATAGAGAAACTACGAGAACTTCAATCCAGAAAGAATTTGAGAAACAAAAGAAAGAAAGAAAGAAATGCAGGCCAGAGAATAGTGTGAGATGATAAATAAAACTGATAAAGAAATTCAAACCACAATAGACTTTGAGATAATAAAGAAACTGATATATAAAAAAAACTAATCAAGAAAAGACTTTGAGATGATAAAAAACTGATATAGAAATTTGATCCAGAAAAGAGTTTTTAGATAGTAGAGAAACGATGAGAGAGCTTCAATCCAGAAATTACTTTGAGATACTAAATAAACTGATAAAAAAAAATGACCATAAAAACAGGGTATAATAAAAATAAAAATAAAAGAGGTGTGTTTTGGAGGAGATACTTAAGGATAATGAGGTGGGTTAAATTGATGATAGTGTTAATGTAAGTAAAGTATGAAAGTTTCCTCCCCCAACTTCAAACATTTATGTCTACTGACAGTGTTTTATTTGGTTATTTTCTGTAAGTTGAGGATTTAGCTAATTAATTTTTGCTATTTAAAAGATTTTTTAGATATTAAGCAAGCATTTTGATTATTAATTAAGGGATATAAGGACTATCTAAGGGAGGAAGGGTTTTAAATGAGTGATTAATAAAGGAATGTGAGCTCCTCCCCCAACTTTTCAAAATCATTAAGAGAAATTTTTTTTTTAAAAATTATTTAATACTGCTCCAATTTTAGTTTCCCACAAGGTTGATTATTGGAATTCACGGTCCAGTCTTGAAGGTGTCTTTTCAATCAGTTGAAATTGTGAGTCGTCCAAATTGAAAGCTCTTGTGAATTATTTTACCGTTCCAACTATCTTGTTTAATTAGGCTGATTTTTGTTTCCTAGAAAAGTAGTAATTTCTACTGTGTGACTATTTAGTAAAAAATTGAATTAATTCAAAAACTATGTATAACAAATTTGAAAATTGTACTGATTACCCTCTTTTTTTTTAATTTAAGGGAATGTGACTTTTAAAGTGAGTATTGGTTGATGCAGTTTTTCCTCATGCCTAGGAGGCTTTGATTT